AAACATAAAAATATATGGGCTCACCCTGGGGTTGGTAGGCCTTTGTGGAAATCAAGAAAATTTGCAAATGAAGCCATCCGCAAATACATTGCTGTCTTTCACACTGGCTGTTTTGGTGTTTTATGGCCATAACTTTTAAAAACTTAAAATATTCGTCTCAAATTTCACATACAGTAATTATACTGAATAACAATTTTTTTTAAATAAAAATTAAAATGTATACATGATCATAACTTTAGTATGAAATGATTTTAACCTTAAAAATTAACAAAATTTCCCCATAAACAATGACTTAAGCATGGCAACCTTTTGAATCTAGAGAGTCGTCTGCTCAGCGATGCGTATTAAGAAGTCTTAACATCGCGACAAATTTTTCTTCTTACCACAAACTTTATTGATACAAATTATACAATGTCTGACCTGTCAAAAGGTATTGACATTGATTTTGATGACATGAATGATAGAAAACATTTTTGCAATTAATAAGCTCTGTGATTATTAAAAAAGGAACTCAGGTGCAGGCTATAGATGATGATTCCCTGTTAGAGCTCAGCAATGTAAATTCTTATTTCGATCAAAATTATTTACGCACAAACTGACTTGACATATTGACAGCATTTTAAATGCTATTAAATGCTTCGTGCGTTTTCTGGTATTCCAAGTTTTTGACATTTATTGAGAGCCAACGACTATGTACATCGTAATGGTGGCAGTTGTTTGCTACCAGCTTGTTGTTATTTACAAAGTCTGATTCCTTTTAACTAAAATACTGTATTATCCCGTTGTATTGCATTTTTGTATTTAAGGAATTCTGAAATCCATTTGATGTCCATTTTAAACAGTGTAGTAACTGCCAGCAATTAACTGTCAAATTCAAGTTGAGGCTAATTAGCATCCAATTCTGAAGATGAGTTTTGCCACACTTGTCCAGGTTTATATTTCACTAACAAATTTTAAGGAACTTTAATTTAGGATCTAAAAACTAAAAGTCAGAATGCAGCCTCATGCCAAGATGACATTGTACATTGATCCACCCATACATGTATTTAAAAAAATACAAACCCTGGAGAGACAAATACTTAAAATTGAATATGCTGCAGGTGTCCTTGTATATGCTGTGTTTTTAAAGTATCTAACAGTCTGTACTATCATTTGTGTGTGTATATTTATATATATATATATATATATAGA